TGGAAACGAACATTCATAGTTTTCATCATTTGAGAACATATCAAGCATTTTTCATCAACTAAACATGTACTAAGAAAAATCTTACTTTCAAGGAGAAATTTGGAAAAATATTACCTCACTCTTGATAGAATGGAAGTTGCACTCACATGATGTAAATACTCAAACAAAGTGTTAGAGAAAAAGTATAAAAGTGAAAGAATCATAATAAAGAAGTCAACATTGGAGACATTAATAATCCTCAATTCTTTATATTTGTTGAAAAACGGTTTGGTTGCAAACGTTTTGTGAAAACGCTGATAAGTTGTTTTTCATTATCAAAGTGCTCGAACACAACATCCTCTTTTTCAACATGATCGCGAAGGTAATTCCCACGCATTTGTTACTTCCATGAGTTACTTTATTTGTAGTCTGGGAGAGTAAATCAACTCCCCATAAGACTAATTTCAAATAATCGCTGCATAAGCTTAGAAAACTCTTTGACAAATTGCATGTTAGTAGAATAAAATATGATGTAATGTAAAATGTGTTATGCTTGATGTTTAACGAAGCTAAACATGCTTATGTACACATATATGTTTATAAAAAAATACATAAAAAATATAATATGATGAGATCATTATAAGTATATAAATTGATAAGTCACCATGATTATCAATTAATAATTATTTTGCAAATGAATAATCATAATAATTATTTTGCAAATGATAAGTCACCAAGTATGTCATGTACTTAGAGAAATAAACAGGTAAAAGAGAGAACTTACTAACAAAGTAAAAGTTAAATCGATATTACCTCACCTTACAATATGACGGAGGATGCACTTGCATTTTACAGGGAACTCTCGAAAGAAATTTGAATTAAATGCAAAGTATGCCAAAAAGATTTTAGAACAATATGATCTTACCACTTTTCACTTTGACAAAGTACCCAAAAGTATAATTTGTGATAAGTCCAAGAAGGTCATTAATTTGATGATCATTCATTTTGATTGAACTATCATCTTTATCCTTTTCATGTTAGTTACCTTTCTTCACCTCATGTTTCACCGATTCGGGTTGATTAATTCCTTCTTCTGCGTTATTGAGAATGTTTCTTGAAGATACACCTACATCATGAAATGAAATACCTTTTTCAAGTATTCTCGGTTACAACATCAAAAGTAATTTATGCATCTTATACCAATAAAACAAAACTTGTTTTTTTCTTCTAGATCACATAATCTATCATCTTGCCCCATATACAATAGAATTAGAATATGTTTATATGCCTTGAGCCACCATAATTGAGAACCCATATTCTCTTCATAGAATTAAGACAAATGTACCTACAAAAACAACAAGACAAGCTAGATACTCAATCTTTATTAGGTCCTTGGGGATTAGTGAAACAATTGATTGCATTTGGGCAAGCCTTTCATACAACCATAGTGACAATTTAAATCTTCAATATCACTAAAATCGTTCTCGTATACATGCACACTTTTTTAGGACCTTGAACTTGATGCCCTAAGAGCTTTGGACTTTGTTCTTTATTCCCTATCTGTGTCTTTCTCCTTTTTCTTCTTCTTCTCAAGCTTTTTTTTTCATGCTTGTCTAAGCAAGTAAGTTCTTACTCATGCTCTTTAAACTTACCAAACAATGTAATGAGGTCAAGTGTTGTAAGATCATTAGCTTCCTTGATCACGGTGACCTTCGATTTCCAATTCCTGGTAAGACGTCTCACAACTTTGTTAGTAGCAATTTCATTGGAAATAAGATTACCAAGTGCGTTCAAACGATTAATGAGATTTAATGTATTTTTCTTATCATCACTATTTTATAGTGCTTCCGCCTTAGATGTGACAACGCCATTAGCATTGTTTTGATTAATAGCATCACACATATCCTTGTCATATGAATTAACATGGATGTGCATACAATATTTTCAATAACAATAATTTTCTTCCGGAAAAAAATTTGGGTCTATTTTGAAATCCCATTTAGGTTCGTACGCCATATAGAGGGGGGGGGGGGGGGGTTGAATAGATGCCCATATTAAAATTTACATTTCAAAATGGTTACTTAAAAACTTATTTGAAAAAAAATGTTGAGCAGAAAGTTTATTAGCCTAGATTAAAATAGTAGTCTAAATGACCCTAGTTATTAGAAACTAGAATATGCATGAGCCATATGGAATTAACATAATGATAAAATGAATCAATATAATAATATCTCCATTAATAGTTTAATATCAAACACAACGGTTTCCTATTTCCAATGAAATCATATTAAAAACATAACTCGGCACTTTATCTAACATTTCGTGCGCAATTAATTTTTTAGAATTTTCTTTGAGCTTATTTGATATGAAAAAGCACTTACAATCAAAGTGATTATAAGCTAATCAACAAAGGAATTTGAACTTTAACAATCAAAGAAAATGTATATACGAATTGATCAATCAAATAACACATTCAACAAATTGCACATAGAGAGTAAATGAGAGTAAGTGCTAGAATATTGCAATTTTCCTTTGAGTTGAACAAGCTAAACAATTTGTCAAACACTTGGTGTGCAAGTGAATTTTCAGAATTTTCCTTTAAGTTGTGTTGATACACAAAAGCAATTATAATCAAAAGTGATTATGAGCAATATCAACACTTGATGTAAATCAAAAAATAGTTCGGAAAATTACTTATAATTCAATTGATAACGCAATGCTATTTGACAAATTTATTGAAGAATATTAAAGTAAGTAAAAGCAAAAATAAAAAAGACACGAGGAATTTGTCTTCACGGTTCCCCACTGTCATCCTCGCGTGTGGGTACGTCTGCGCCTAATTCTAATAGAATTAGGATAGTTCTTACTATGCAAAAAGTTGATACAAGAGAAGTGTTCAAGATCAACTCCGCAAAACCTAATGCTTGTTTTTCATTCAACCCCTTCTATTTGTTTGATCTTTGATCATGACCAACACAAATAGATGCAACCTATTTGCCGCTTAAGCTACTTCCTTACAAAGATCTTAAACACTCCACAAATCCTTGCAAAGATTTCAAACACTTCAAGGAATTTCATTCGAGTAAATATGATTGCACTCAATCCATACAAGATCTTCAATTCTATTTGCCACTTATTGCTACTATCTTACAAAGATTTTAAACACTCCAAGGAAATTCACATGGACGATTCCTTCTTGACCGATCTTGTCGCAAATCCCCGCACCAACACGGATCTTGGAGGGCAAACCCTAACGAAGATATTTTCCAGATGAAACCCCTACAAAGCTCAACCCAATACTCAATTGGACACTATCAATCCTCGTCTAGATGACACCCCAACGAAACATTGTTACAATATAATGTCAGTGTGTATGCATAGGTTGGAGGTTAAAGATAAAGAAAGAAGTAGGTTAATTTTATGGCTTCACCAAGTTATGAATGATGCATGAATGATATATTTATAGTTGGACTCTTTTTAGGTAAAATAGGGTACGTTCGAAATGAAAAAAAATATGAAAAAATGACCCACAAAATAGTATGTGTCGAATTGAAAAAGTTTTGTGTCAACACATACAAAACAGTAGCTACAAGCTTTAAAAATATAATACATGTGTCGACCTGAAAATCGTATGTGTCGACACATGTGCCTGTATTTTAAAGCAGAAATGCTGAAGACTTTAATAATGAAGTACATGTGTCGACCTATAAATCGTATGTGTCGACACATACTGAAGCTTTTAAGAAAATGTTGAAATGCTGAATTTATGTGTCGACACATACAAATTTTCTGGTAGATATATAAATGTTGATTAATTGCAAAAACTGATTTTTCATGATTCAGACCAATTTTAAATTTGTTTTAAATTATTCCTAAGACATCTAATACAAGGGAGTGCCACAAGACATAAGGATACCGCTCACAATACTGAAATACTAGCTTTTCGAGTTTTGACATCATGCAAAACATCTAATAGTGTTGTTGCACTCACAAAGGTGTTTTCACTACTACGTCCAAAGTATCTATCGTGGTAGAATATATTCAATTAGGCGCTTTTTTTCTTTTATTTTAAGCCACTTTTCACCACGGTTGGAAGTTCTAATTGTGATAAAAAGTGATGCATGGTCATGAGTTCGAATCTTACTGCTGATGTTCTTGTTCTTCTTCTTATTCCTCTTCCTCTTCCTCCTCTTCTTTTTATTCTTCTTCTTCTTCTTCTTAAAGACATACAATAACGATTGTTTAATATAATCGCGGTTGTACGTAACGCGATATCTAATTTATTATCACATGTAATAGACTGTGATTGTAAATAACTTACTTACAACTATATCCTATCTAATAACCGTTATTATAAGTCTTTCGCAACCGTTATTATATATTTTTTTCATAATAGTATTTAAGGTCCATTCAAAGATCCGTTATTTAAAAATATATAAAGAAAATTTAGATTTTCAAAGATCTGAACCTAGAAAAAAAATTCCATAAAATAAAAGCTAAGATATTGCCTTAATTGTATTCTTCCATATCCATGGGCCTTATCCAAACCGATCACCGAACTACTATGTCTTTAAGATTTCGTCCTAATGATCTGACAATATTTACTAAACGAAAATGTTAAATAAAAAAAGTTAATAAGTTATCCAAAATATTCTTGTAGTACACAGTATTTATTGCGTTGAGTTGCTGTACATTATGTATCTCCACTCTCTAGCTCAGTTCATTAATTAGATACAAAATATATCGCATTGAAAATATTATGCAATATTGTTTTTTTTTATCTACTATACTATGCATGTAAAATACTAGTTGAAAATATTGAGATACTAAATACACATGTTAATACTTTTATTTATAATAAAAAATTATAATCAGAGTATGACCGTACATGTTGGAGCACTATAAATGAATGCACACACCATAACTTATTCACCAACATTCTCTTCTTTTTCTCCCCTCTATGCACTTCTCAAATTAGAAGAAACTACTAAAGAAACGTAGTAAAAACAAGTTCAATTACCATGCATAAACTCACGCTCTTTCTCTTTTGTATAATTTTCTCCACATTCACCGTAAGCACATTTCTCATTTCCATCACAGGATTATTATGCGGATTCAAACATATATGAAAAATAATTCTATCAACAAATTTTTATGAATGTTTTAGCAAGTTTTGAAAATAAATTTGTAATAATTTTACTACAATTTCAATGCAGGTTGGTTTTGCAGATCATGCCGACAAAACACAAAACCCATTCAGTCCAAAAGCATTCGTAATCCGCTATTGGGACAGAGTGATCAAAAACAAGTTACCAAAACCATCATTTATCATCTCCAAGGCGTCACCACTTACCGCCGCCGACGCAACCGCTTTCGCCAAACACATAGCTGACAACACACTGTCCACAAAGTTGCCGGAATTCTGCTCCGCCGCACACCTCCTCTGCTTTCCCGATGTCAATCCCAGCCTTGCAAAACACTCCCAGGACTCCCACTTCGCCGTCTACAACGACGGTCAGAATTTCACAAACTACGGCACAGAAAGACCCGGCGGACTTGACTCCTTCAAGAACTACTCCATCGGCTTCGAAAGCAATGCGATCAACGAATTCCGTCAATACAGCCGCAGTTCCGCCGGCCACAACGACAGTTTCAGCAACTATGCTGATTCAACCAACGTCGCAGACCAGAGTTTCAACACCTACGGTTCCTCCGCCGCTGGTGGCTCCGGCGAATTCAAAGAATACGCTCAAGACACCAACGTCCCTGACCTCAGGTTCACCACTTACTCAGTCTCTACCGCCGGCAGACAACAAACTTTCTCAAGCTACAGCGAAAACGGAAACGCCGGTGATCAGAGTTTCGGTAACTACGGAAAAGACTCCGCCGGTGCCGAAAACAGCTTCAAACAGTACGGAACTAACTCTAATGTTGCATCATCAGGTTTTTCTAGTTACGCAGATAAAGGCACAGGTAATAAAGACACTTTCGATAGTTACGGAGTTAATATGAACAATCCCACTGAGAATTTCAAAAACTATGCTAGAGGAAGTTTAGGAGTCACAGAGAAATTCTCAAATTATAGAGACCAATCTAACGTTGGTGCTGACTCGTTTAGTTCTTATGCTAAGGATGCAGAAACTGGAACTCATGTTGGTTTTAATAACTATGGAAAATCAGTTAACGAAGGAACCGACACTTTTAAAGGTTATGCTAAAGGTGCTGGTGCTGATCATAAGGTTACTTTCAAAGAATACGGTGTTAATAACACTTTCAAGGATTATGATAAGAAAGGTATTTCTTTTGCTAAATATACTAATGCTTCTTCAACTAATGCTGTTTCGGTTAGTGACAGTTTGGCAAAGAAATGGGTTGAGCCGGGTAAGTTTTTCCGCGAAATGATGTTGAAACAAGGTGTGGTTATGCCTATGCCCGATATTAAGGATAAGTTACCACAGAGATCGTTTTTGCCTCGTAATATTTTTACTAAATTGCCTTTTGCTACTTCCAAGTTGAATGAGTTGAAGCAAGTTTTTAAAGTGTCTGAGAATTCGTCTATGGATAAGATGATAGTGGACTCGTTGAATGAGTGCGAGAGGGCTCCGAGTAAGGGTGAGACTAAGCGATGTGTTGGATCGCTTGAGGACATGATCGACTTTGCAACTTCGGTATTGGGACATGATGTTACAGTTCGATCCACTGAGAATTTGAATGGGTCGGGTAAGAATGTTATGGTGGGTAAGGTTAAAGGGATAAATGGTGGGAAAGTTACTCAATCAGTGTCGTGTCATCAAAGTTTATTTCCATCTTTGTTGTACTACTGTCATTCCGTTCCAAAGGTTCGGGTTTATCAAGCCGATCTTTTGGACCCGGAATCAAAGGCCAAGATCAATCATGGTGTAGCAATTTGTCACTTGGATACCACTGCTTGGAGTCCCACCCATGGTGCATTCATGGCTCTGGGCTCTGGTCCGGGTCGAATTGAAGTATGCCATTGGATCTTTGAGAACGATATGACTTGGACTACTACAGACTAAAGAAGCATCTTCAACCTCAAGTCAACATGTTTTTAATTCAATGTCATGTTATGTATGTGGTTTTTATTTTCCTGTTTTTTGAAATAAATGGTTGTCATTGGTAGAAAATGTACTATTTATCATCTACTATGTAAGTTTGGATTCAAGATCAATTTTAGATAAATTATAATGTACCAATGTGATTTTCGAACAAGTTACTTAAAGTTTTAATAAAATCACACGGTTCTATCGTAATATAGTCAAATTTCCAAATACATAACATGAGATCCTTTTATGCAACTTTTTTATATAAATGACTTCTGAGTGAATATTGGGTTTAATATTAGTAGTGTTTTAACATGTTAATATTTGTTTATTTATGCTTTTATGCTGGCTACTATATTTTATCAAACTTGCTTTGGAATGGAAAAGTATGGTTTTGAATAAATGGTTCCAGGTTAAAGTTTAACGTCACATATATATATTTTTATATGTGGTGATGCGTGAACCACTAAATAACTTTCAGTTATAGACATTTTATGTATGGTTTGTCCAATATTTATTCTTTTAATCTTTCGTGATTTAGTTTTTGTGACAAATATAATTTCTTGTAGCAAGATTCAATGCAATCGTGCTGTAACTTTACTATGTGATGCACAAACCTGAAGGATACATATTTTTTGGCATATGCTGCCTGATTTTGTTTTTGCAGGGTTATTATGTTCTGTTACGAGGCATTGCCTCTCAAGTAGAGCTCTGTGTCGATTATAACAATAACGAGCAAGCTGCGCAATGGATAGAGGTGTAATGCTGAGCTTAGACTTCCTAGAGCATCTTCAATTCCTATAACATCTTCGATTGTGAAATCCGTATTTGCTCTTATATATTGTAATTCAAGTAGAGTTGTAATCGGTTATAATTGTGTTGAAAAGTCAAAATAAGTTGAAATAAGTGATTATGTTGAGGGTGTAACTGGTTACACATTCACAATAATCGATTATCATTGTGTTGTAAAAACAGATTTAATCGATTATTAGTTAGGCATAATTCATTACAGACAATTAGTTTTAACTTTTTTGTTATTTTGACTTTGTTACTTTACTTTATATCCAAGAGGTATTGTAACACTCCGAATTCAGTTAAATTATTTAACAAAATTTAGTTGTATTTTATTTAATTATTAAGTGACTTATATGTTTTTAATTAAATATGTATGTTATGTGTTATTGGTGAGTCTTGTCGGGAGTATAGATAATGTTAGATATTATTTAAAATTTAGTTAATTTTGAATAATCGAATTAATAGAATAAAACTAAAATAGTGAGATTTTGGTGGAAAATAGAGTTTGAAAAAAAATAATTAAAAAATAAGAGGAATGATGGAAATAAGAGTAAATAATAAAATAAAAAGAAAATTTGGGTTGGGAAGGATAAAATAGGAATAACTTAAATAAGAGGAATTAGTTTTCTTTTAAATATAAATGAGTGATGGTTGAGAGACTTTTACACTATGTAGAATTTGGAGAAAAAGAGAAAAAGAGGCAAAGTCAAATAGGTGGCCAAGGGCTTAACGGAAGAAGAATACACCATTGTTGCAATGCTTTTGTTGGAAATTAAGATAAGGGAGATTACTCTATTATAGATGTATGTTGTATGAAGGGTAGAGAGGGAGCATCACCCTCCTCTAGGTTGAATTCTCCATTATTGTATGTTGATTCTTATACATGTTGTAATAACATGAGTTCTGAATTTTTGTGTTGCCATGGTTGTGTTCTAGAGTTTTGAACCTAACCTTGAAAACTATAAAAAGTGATTATTTTGATGTGTTAATTGATGGATAGATTCTGTTTAGATAACATATAATATATCTATGTATTTCTGATTGAATTGGGTGATTTAGGGTTGAAATCGATGCTTGGAATGAGCTCCAATGGTGAAAATCGTGTTTATGATTTTTGTTAATTTGGGTGTACTCCAAAAATCCATGCTTAGTGAGCCCGCGCTGAGCCCTAAAAATCTGGAATTAGCGAGTCTACACTGAGCCCCAAAAATTCGGGCTTAGCACAGATGACAACTCAAAATTATCGTTTTCGAATCGGTTTTGCGATAGAGTTCTACTTTTGGCGAGTGTTGGTTCTGTTAGGTGCTAAGTAACACTGGTTGGCAATGTTTGATGTTAATTGATGAATTATTCATGATGAAACGGTAGTTGACTTGATTATGGAAATCATGTGTTATGTATGAAATCCTAAATGTTGTATTGAAGTGTATAGTTCAGAAGTGTGGACTATTTGAATGTTGTATTATAGGTTGCATATGGTTCAAAGTGGGATCATTGGTAAATGTTGCACCTAAATGTTATTGTTTCACTATCATTTCATTATAAGTGTCGTTGTTGTAATGTTACAAGTTATTGATTTTAACGAGGAGATCACCAATGATGAATTCTGGGTTCAAAGAGGGACCATCGAGAGTGGATAAGATCAGTAACATAATTTTGATGTCTAAATTGGTACCACATGCATATAGGGTCGAGGTGTTGTTAGACTGCATACATGTTCGCATTGTGATTTGATGATTGTAGTGTGAATGAATTATCTTTTTGATAACTGTTGTTGTTTATGCTACCATTCCTAATCTTTTGCACCACTAACATAATTGAGTATATTTTTACCCCTTTGTTATTTTATTTGTGTGTGGATGTACACTATTTGCAGATAATCAGGAACAAGAGTAGTAGTTGTTGTGAGTTGGAGGAGTGTTGTGAAGCTTCCTCAATTAGTGTTCTCAGTTTATCATTTTAGTCGGTTAATGCTCTGATTCTGTAACATCGGAAACAAGGAATTTTATTTGTTTTTGAGTTAATCATTGCATTATGTTGTTTCAATTAAGATTTTAAAATTGATGAGATATTTGAATTTTATGTTAATTATTTGAATTCCACTTCGAGTTGTTATTTCATATTTGAGGAGTTTTAAAATTATTTGAAAATTATGCATGTTATGTTGAGTAGCATCCTAAAAATGATGATTTTATTGTTTTAAATTAAAGTCGAGGTTTTAGGATGTTACATAGTGGTATCAGAGCATGTCGATCTATTCGGCCAGATTTATGTAATGTTATCTGTTTCCTAGTGTCATATCTCAAATTTGCCCGCTCTATTTTAAAAATACTCAAATTATTTTTAAATTTGGTTTCATAAATTTTTTGGGTATTACTCACATTTGGTTTAACAATAGTTTATTTTTGCTTATTTAAAAAATATATAATAATTTATTTTAAATTATTTGTATATTTAAAATAGAAAAATATTTTTTCACCTTCATATGCTTCTATATGCCTTTTTATCTTAAATAGAATTGCATAGAATAGTTGGTGTTCTGGACTGGGCCCACCTTGGCCCAAAGCGCAGATAAGGGCCCAATCCAAGCAAACTCCTCGTAAATGCTCACCAGCGGGCCACCACCGACATGCCCGACAATAGACTATAGCCACTACGCCCGCCATTGTCCGCGACACGCAGTGTCCCCGACCAATGGAACTCCAACTCGAGCACCCTCCTCGTAGGGCAGATTCTGTCCATTATGACCGTTATCAAATCCTCTAAACTCCGGAAAGACCGCGTCTTCGTCCCTCCTTATTCTTCGCGGAGCACCACCAGGAAAGAGACCACGTGCGGGGCCCTACTACGCACGTAGAACCTGGCAGTTCCTTTATTGGGCCAGTTCTGGTCAGCCCAATTAGGGGACCTTGGCCCAGCGCTGGGGGCTATAAATACCCTTTGTTCCCAGAGGGTCAGGTATTCATCTATTACGCACATATACATCTTTTGCCTGCTCATTCTGCCACTCATTTCAGCATCGGAGTGTCTTGCAGGTACCCCCCCATCTCACTAAAATTTAGCTCGAGCCAGTCGTGACGATCCAAGTCTGATCAGGTAAGATTAGTGGCGCCGTCTGTGGGAAACTAGCTTCCCCGTCTTGCAAACTCTCGAAGACCAAAGCTCAAAATCACCTCCTACCGTCATGGCTGACCAAGTTCGGGATGACCAGAACGTCTGCGTCGTCAACGTCAACAACAACCCCGCGGATAAGAAAGGAATTCCCGACAACGTCGGCAACCCCGACCATAGAACACTCCCCGGGGGCACCATCCACGGGCCCTCGGGCCACCGCGACGGAGCTACTGCCTCATCTTCTTCAGTCCCACCTTCACTCGAAGAAGACAATACGGCTCCCCCAAACTATCTAGCTGCCCAATTTCAGGAAGTCCCTGTCCCCGCCGGGGCAGATGCCACGACCCGCGCACTATTCGCGGCGATCAATCAAACCAACTACCTCATCTTTACCCAGGGGGAAAGATTGAGGGCGCTAGAAGACGATAGAAGACCCGCGAGGAGACACGGGAGGCCTCAGACCCCACCTCCTCGAGTAACAGAGGTACATCTCCCGTCTCCCCCGCGGAGACAATACAGAGACGCCTCCCGAAGCCCGTCGCCCCGACCATCGAGGAGACGACCTCCCTTGGAGAGGCAACCCGTCATTGAAGCCGGAGGGCACAACCACGGCCCCATACGGCAAAAAAGAAGACACCCAGAAGACAGGCACGGGAGAATAGACCAACGAGCATCCCGCTCGAGGGGAATCCAGCATGACCAGGACCATCGGGTCCAACAATATCTTAGGTCCCCGTCCCTATCCCCATAGCGAAGTGACGAGGACAACCCCCGCGGTCCCCTTTCACAAGCCATCATGGAGGCGCCCATTCCCCCGGGTATGGAGAAGCCTCCACATCTGAAAGAATATGACGGAGTCGCAGACCCAGTCGACCACATAGACGGGTTTGAGGCTATGCTGCATTACCATAATGTCGGGGGACCCATCAAATGTCAGTTGTTTCCCACGACCCTCAGAAAGGCATCAATGGATTGGTATAAAGATCTCGCCCTGGAATCAATCACCTCGTGGCGAAACTTGAAGAATCAATTCATAAGTTCGTTCACCGCGTCTCGGTGACATCCAA